AAAAAAAAAAAACCAAACTAGTTGTAAATATTAAATGAACATGAAAGGTGAATACGTAGAACGTCATCAAGCAAAGCATGAAAAAACTCCAAACATGTTCTCCGAGCTCAACCCTCACCACCAACAACTTCCCTTTTCCCAGCACTTTCAACTCTCTCGTGAATCCGAAGAGGAAGATACTCGTAGTACTGGTGCCGCCACAACACCAAATCCCATTCCCACCTCTCAAAAACTCAACGAATTTAACAGCTGCGGTGGCACTGACGGTGCTACTATTGAAGTAATTCGTCGGCCCAGAGGCAGACCGCCCGGTTCAAAGAACAAACCCAAACCACCCGTTATTATAACCCGGGAACCTGAACCAGCCATGAGTCCTTACATCCTAGAAGTCCCGGGTGGAAACGACGTCGTTGAAGCACTATTCCGTTTCTGTCGCCGAAAAAATATGGGAATCTGCGTTCTTACAGGAACCGGCACGGTCGCTAACGTCACTCTGCGTCAGCCATCGACAACACCAGGAGCTACTATCACTTTTCATGGAAGATTTGATATTTTGTCAATTTCGGCAACTTTTTTGCCTCAAACAACGTCCTATCCAGTGCTTAATAGTTTTACCATTTCGCTTGCGGGTCCACAGGGGCAGATCGTCGGAGGGATTGTTGCTGGAGGTTTGGTGGCTGCTGGTACTGTTTTTGTTGTAGCGGCTTCGTTTAATAATCCGAGTTATCACCGGTTGCAGGTTGAGGAGGAAGGGAGGTATTCTGGGTCTGGTGATGGTGATGGTGGTGGTGGGGAAGGGCGATCACCTGTGTCGGGTGCAGGTGGGGGAGAAAGTGGACACGCGGCAAGTGGACGAGGAGGAGGAGGAGGAGGAGAGTCTTGTGGGATGGCTATGTATGGTTGTCATTTGCCAGCTAATGATGTGATTTGGGCGCCCAGCGCCAGGCAGCCGCCACCAGCGCCTTATTAATGTGAATTATCATGTAGATGATCAGGGTCAATCAATATTTTTTTCAGCTTTTAGGAAGTTTGATTATGAAGAATTTTTTTTTTAATGTAAGTTTTTCTCTGTATATGTTAACCAAGTCTTTAAGTAGCTCTTTTCGTTTCCATGGAACGAAAGAGGAACAGTGCTGCTAGTTTTCTTTCCTTTTACCAAATTGGTAATGTTCCTTTTTTTCTTTTAAAGAAATGGGAAGTGCATAAAGAAACTGACTGGTGTAGTGTAAGACGGCGTCATGCATGTCAAAATCATGAGTAACTTATGTTTTTCATGGTGGGATTTTAACGGAAGCATGTTTGCTTTGGAGTTTGATAGTGAAGCAATTTATCTCCGCCAACTGCTGCGGTAGATTTGGGCTAGTTGTTGCTTTCTTGCCTGAAGAAACTGCACCGCTGGGGTAAAAAGAGAATGGTTCTGCTCGGTTGATATTTTGCCGCTTAGGTTCTTGATGAATGCCAGTAGAGAACGGGGCTAGGGCTGATGCTTTTATCCAATACATTTTTTTTTCCGATACCCGCTTTAATCTGTTTCTTTTCCCGTCTTTTATTCTTCGGTCCATTTGTACTTTGTTTTGTCTCTTTCTATCTGCTGTTTTTTTTTTTTCTTTTTACTTCTACGAAAGCAAAAATATAATGAAAGCGAAGATAGGTCTGGCTTCTCTCTGTCACCATCTTTATCCAAATTTTGATGCCCTGAATGTTTAGCTGTTTCTCACCATAAACACAGTTGCGCTTCAACTTCTAGCACAGAATGGGTAGATATTAACTAGATCACTGTATTTGATAAAAAAAAAATAAAAAATATTTATGTTATTATCATGTTTTTTAGTGGAAACAAATGAAAATCTTTATACGATCTAGTTAACATGATAGGTTTAATAACAATTTAAAATATTATTAAAAATATAATTTGATTAAAAAATTTCAAATATAATTTTTAAAAATATTAAAATAAAAATATATTGAATTGATATGGATTAATGTGTTAAATCTATAATAGATCATAAAATTAAAATAATTTTAAATTAATGATTGTTTTATAAAAAGCAAAATGAGAAATGTATAAATTAATTACCAATTAAACTAATATGGAATAATAAAATTAAAAAAATCAATTAAAAAAAAACTCGGCTTAATTTATCAAAGTTACAACTTAGATCATGTGATTGAGATAATAATTCCATTGTTTAATTCCCAATTAATCTAATGTTAAAAGATGAAATTGAAGAAAATTTTAATTCAAAAAAACAAGTTATCTCCGGTAAATTATTCAAAATCATGACCTAAGTAATGAGACTGAGATAACCATATAAAAAGCTAAAAAAATATTAAGTCTAAATCAATCAAATATTGAATAATAAAATTTAAAAAAAAACTAAAAATAGATTAAAGAAAAACCTGAGTAAACCTTGGGATCTCATTGTTAAGGGATGAAATTAAAAAAAATAAAAAAATAAATTATCCAAGTTAACTTACCAAGCTTGTAACTCAGGTAACATGATTGTTTTATAAAAAGCAAAATGAGAAAAATAATATGAAGCTTAATTTCAAATCAACCAAATATTGAAGAACAAAATTGAAAAAAAAAATAAGAATATTTTATTTATTTAAGTTAATCTGTAAAACTCGTGATTCAAGTCATGAGATCAGGTTAATGTCATAAAAATAAATAAAAAATGACATAAATCAACTCGGATTAACCTACTAAATCAGTGATCAAGGTCATAAATTATGATAATCTTATAAAAAGTAAATCAAAACAAATAATGAAGTTTAATTTTCAATAAAATCATGGTTCAGTGTTGAAATTAAAAAAAATCAATCTAAAAACTAGACACAATAAAACTACCTCGGTCTACATGAGTTAAGTTGCAAAACACGTAACCTGAGTCATAAGATTGAAACTACCTCGATCTACATGAGTTAAATTGCAAAACACGTAACATGAGTCATAAAATTGAGATAACCTTATAAAAAGTAAACCAAAATAAATCATGAAGTCTAATTCACAATCAATCTAATATTGAAAGATAAAATTGAATAAAATATCAATTAAAAAAAACTCGAGTCAACTAGGTTAACCTCTCAAACTCGTAACTCGAGTTATGAAGATGAGATAACCTCATAGGAAGTAAAAAACAAAAATCATGAAGCATAATTTATAGTCAACTCAATGTTGAAGGATAAAATTAAAAAAAAATCAATTAAAAAAAATTCAAGTTAACCCGTTAAACCTATGACACGAGTTATGACACGAAAATAACAACTTATAAAACAAACTACAATGTAATTGTCCTCTGTTGCACCTTTAAGCTATAAGACAAAAGCATGTTTAATTAATTTTGAGAGGTGTAACCACAATTTATATTTGTTTTTTAGATATTATCCGTTCGAGTCCTATAAATTTTGGGGTCACTAGAGACTTATATGGTCATTAATTTTAGTACCCGTAAAATTAATCGAAATGCACATAAACTGGCCTGAATCACATAATAATAATAATAATCAAAATGTTTAACCATTTAAAATAACAGGTTACATAACTTCCTGCCGTGATTTATTTTTTTCAATTATTTTATATAACGCTTTATAAATGTCTTTCGCTATGAGTATGATAGTTTTATATGCAAGAATTATGTTTTTTTTACAAAAAACAAATAATTGACTTGAAATTTGAATTTTATTTATTAATGAGAGTGCTTAATCATTATCAATCTTCTCAATTCTCAATACATCAAAATAAGGTCCTACAATATAAACTTGATAAGATTTTTGGTCCCCACTGACACGATCAAAGAGTTGATGTCTTATCCCAAGTGCAGGAGTGTCAAAGTAAAATAACCCGGCAAGACCGGGGTCGAACCACAGGGAGGTGAATTATATAAATTACAAATAAAGAAAAAGATTTAAAGAGAATAATAACAGAAAAGGAGTTGAAGAAAGTTTTGGGATGTGATATTGATGTAAGGATTAAACAATAACAAAACATATGTCAAGGTTATAGGATTCACTAATGGTATTTCAAATAAATATAATATAAACTCTTTTTATTACTCAACTAGAAACCACACACAAAGGAGGTTATAATCGGATGATTTCTCGTTATTAGCTCATTATAAATTACTAACATGATCATATTAATTATCTTATATAAGTAATACCATACTTATAAATATCATCAAGCATTCATGTTGCTAGTTTATGTTAACAACAAATCAAGTTTCTATCATAATAACGATTTCGGCCGAAAACTATGAAACATCAAGCATTTGATGTACCAAATATTATACAACACAAATCTAAATTAAACATTTAATAAGCAAGGTATTAAGAATTAGTAAGATAAAAAGATAAAACATGTTAATAACAATCTTTCTTGGATATAAACATTTAAAGCTCATGTTGAGTTTATATTATACCTATTCTAACACCATTAGAGAAACCTTTTCACTTGACATAATTAACTTAGCTAAACATTAAGAAGGAGAAAAACACAAATAAACAATATAAGAACATAAACATAATATAAGCTAACTAAGTATAGGAAAGGAAATGAAAGAGCATAAACAAGAGATTACTATAGCATAAAAGAAAACTTGAACATTACAAAGATGTAGAGAGAAAGCAAGAAGATAACTTTGATCTGAAAATTAATATGACTAAATACATGGACAATGCCTCCTTTTATAGGCTAAGTTTCAGAACTATTGATTGATTGAAGAATTGGTGGGCATCCATTGATTTGGTGGCTGGTTTTTGACATTAATGGCTGCTGGTTTTTTGATATTGTGGGCTGATTTTTGATATTGTTGGCTGGCCAAAACGTCATTGCTCACATCAGAATTATAGCCAACTGAATTGTGGAAGCTGTGGGCAATTGTCTCAGCTTTCCATAAAAAAAAAACCAGAGCTCATTTGGACTTCTAGAACTCAAGATATGAGCCAAAAACCGAATAGTGCTTGAGCTGCAGGACAGCTTCCAACGTTTTCGTTGTTGCTAAGATTTGGGCTTGAAAACGGCAGAACTGAGTCTTTGACTTCATATGAAAGTTGTAGGTCTATGTCTTACGTTTCCATCGATATAAAATGGACCTAAATCTGATATCTACAGCTCCAGATATGATCAAATTACTGAACGGTGTTCGAGTTTGGAATGCACCAGCAACACTTTGCTAAGTTTGGCCTTCTTTTTATCCTTTCAATTTCAATCCTTAAACTCATCAATCAATCCTTTTATTTATGTGATAGACCTGCATTTAGGATGAATATTTACCATGAATTAAAGATATATTATATTTTTAGACTTGCTAATATAAAACATGCTTTTGTTAGGGAATTTAATGATACTTTAGGTGCAATATGATGATATAAATCCTTAATGAGAATGCATTTTTAAGTACTAATCACACCCCCCAACCAGCTTATTACTAGTCCCTAGTAATCAAAGCATTAAAATATAAAACTAATTTGCAAATACCACAAAGCAAGGCATTCATCATTTAACTTCTATTAATCTATCCAGATAAACAAACTCTCATTAAATTTATATATCTGCTTAATACCTCTTAAACAAGATATTAGTAAACCTTCTTTCGGTGCTCAATAAATCAAAACATAGCTATGGAGCTTTTCATGGAAGAAAACAAAATTTTTGTTCTAATGTTTAAAGTTAACTTCCTTGGGTTGGGATTGTTATCTTTTTTTTTTCTCTCTTTTTTTTTAAAAGCAAGAATTTATAGCACAATGTATCCTGAACCCATGTAACGAGCTTTCGGCTAATGACTCCCAAACCAGTTGGTCTTAGGGCATCAGGTGTTGAGACACCCCTACGAGCTTAGTAACTCGGGTTGCAAATACTGATATGTAGATAGTGCAGTGTTTGATTCCCTTAAGCTTTCTCCTCAACCCATGTAACAAGCACTGGGCCAATAACTCCCAAGTCAGTTGACTTTAGGGTACTAGGTGTTCAAACACCCCTTCGGGCTTATTTGCTTAAGTCAAGGAGGCTACGAAACCAAACTTATCTACTTTGTTTTTTTTTTCTTTTTATTATTATTATTATTATTATTATTATTTGCATATTATATACTATCCCTTTCCCTTAGTTGTTACCTTTAACAAAAGAACACAAATAATGTAATAATCCAATGTGCAACCCACAATCATATGTTCGAGTGTGTGTGTGAAAATGAAGGTTTAGAAATACTTGTTAGATGAGCATATAAACAGAATCTATAGATAACAATCCAAGAGTTTGTAAACCTGAATATTTCAAGAAGTATTATAATAGACCTTGTTAAGAATGTTTACT